TCAGTAGATGTACAAAAGATAGTATTGATATTCTTCAGTACCATACGCCAAACCAAAAACTTTGGTCAAAGCAATGATGTCAAATCTGCCGGCTGTGTTATGGCCCGGTAGCAAACGTGACCAGCACAGCCTCAATACGAGCTCAGATCTCTGCGTGTGTGACGCCCGACTACAATGGCAAACACAATTCAGTCAGCTATCGGAATTTCTCGAAGCGAGATTCCTAATCTGGTCCTTCAAGGGTTTTTTTTTTATTTTTTTGAAATTTATCTGCATTTCGTCACGCAAGTACTCAATGCTAATGGATGCGCAGACCCCTTCCTTGAGATTCTAAGGGTCAGGTGACTCAACATACTAGTGGCTATGCGTCCAATTGTTCTAGGATTCTAGAATTCTTCCTATTCCAGTATGACGTCGAGTTGAGCAGACGCGATATCAAAGACCGCCGCATCGGGTCATTCATGAAATATGGAATGTTGTCACCATATTACTAGCCTAGGATCTTCATTACTGCCCAAAGCTAAAGGCTTGAAGCTATTGAAGACGCTGTTGGTTGTTGATACGATGATCTCCACAAGGTCATCATTGTTATTTGTGGCCATGCCCCAGGTACCTAGACTTCGCCACGATCTAGCTCATTGACCCGTCAACTACCCTCGCTTGCCTTGGTAGCCCGGTGCATCAATTCAGCCTTGCATCAAGAAGTTTCGCTTAAGTCTCAGTCAAGGGCCAATTCTAGTAAGAATGTCCGAGACATTGATGAACTAGGGAACTAAGAGATTAACTGTTCTACTTGGCAAGCCTAGACTTATGTAAAGTAACTTATGTAATGACATCTAGTCCGCCTGAATGTGAAGTATACTAAGCAAGTGTTGTATTTCCAATGGGCTTGAAGCTAAACATAGGGACTGGCGGTTGCAAGCTCAACAGACACAAACATACAGAGCATACCAATAGTTGACCTACCTAGGAGATAAATACTCGTTTTACATAGAATTAATTCACATAATAACACTTATCCTAACTTATACCTTAGTCTTATCTACCTCAATGCAGCCCTTATTTCCTTCATACAGGTACCTGGTGGATATATAAGTTTATTTGTGTCCAAGTGTCTAAGGAGGTAGTTAGCAACTCCTTTACCCGCCTTTAGTTTTCTGCGCTTATTTTTCTTTAAACTCTTCAGCTATATATATCCTTGTAAGGTTTGATGGTGAGGCTTATCTTCATATATGATGGCCACACTTGCTAGGTTCTAGTTATCATCTAGCACTTTCTCACAGAATTCTAAACTTCTATGAGTTCCTATGTGTTTCGGCTTCCTGATTCATTCTTTCCGCGACTGATTCAGGCTATATATACTATTGTTCTCGAATCCTGCATAATTACTTTATTCTAGATGATGAAAGGTGACACCAGACGCGTCGAGTTCATGATGAGCTGCTTAGCGGTCAAGCTTAGAGCTGTATATAAGAGGTAGCCTAGACGGACAGGTTTGGTAATTCGTCAGTCAAACTACAAATCTAATATCAGACACATAAGCTACAATATTTCTTGTATGTAAGCAAGGATTATGAAGTTCCAAGGGCCTTACGGATCCCAAACTCTAACATGTATTAGAGATTTTCCAAAGCCAAGAAACGCACGAAGACAAGACAGATCCATTCTGCAATAAGACTTTATTCTAAGCAAGAAGGATTCAAGTACGAAAAGAAGACGGAGAATATTCGAACTATAAATTCGATCCCTTGAGAACATAGTACTTTCAACATGAACACAGGACTAACTACTCGTCAATTACGCGTACTTGAAGGTGGATATACTTAAACACTGAAAGCTCCTGATCCGATAATATTGTATTAACAAATCGATAGACTATCAAAAGAGACTTCCCAGATTCCTCTTTCGTGGCTTTCATCCTGGGTCTGGAGGCGGAAATCCACGTCTCAATAGCAGCGAGGGTGTCATTCCACACGGCTTTCTTAACAATGAAATACCAACGTCGATAAGAGACATCCCGAACCTTAGAGATATGATCGATAGCCATTTATGGGGACAACCTGTCCCTTCCTGTTTCAGCTCCTGGGCGGCAGATATCGGTGTCGCGCTTGTATATTCATACCAGTCTAGTATTGCGATTCTCGATACTAGTCTGCTAGAGTCTCATGTAAAGATATACCACGTGTTGAGTCTTTACGACGCTGGCCTTGCCAGTGGTACTTACGACGATGAGTATTTGGTGTACGGGCCGATTAGAGGACAGGCATATCATTGTGTGAGATACGCAGCTATACTGCGTAGGCTGTATCCTTCGATTCCTTCATCTCGTCATGACTACGTATCTCGACTTATCCTTAACGCAGCTGAGATTGCACCTTTGTTCAGACGAAGAGATGACAGACGACCTGACGTAATTATAGCACTCATAGCTTATTTTACAGGTTACCATATCCAGGAACGTTACGGGGATATCGATCTTTTCGTCCATCAAATAGCCCGGTTGTTCCCCGCACAGCTTGCAATGCTTGAACTACCTGTATCCTCGAGAATAGGCTTAGTTAACCCAAGCACCTACGTAACAGGGTATCCACAGCTCGCCTGGGCGGTGCGTGCACTGGTAGCGCTCGAAGATTATGTGAGGAGCCAGAGAAGACCGATCTCTTGGGTTGTATAGTGACAACATGGCAAAAACAGAAGTTCTGTTTCAGTAGCTGGCAGTCTAGTTTACACTTCATGTGCAATTGTCGTATAATTGGACGGCAATTCACAATATACAGTTCCGACCTGTAGTCACAAATTGGTATTCGCAATAAATCCCCATCACAATTCCCCAACAGACCAAGTGATTCTTATAAATGTAATATAAAGCCCCTGCGCCAACGTTCTCAATATTAATTTACGCCAGCTATAGCTAGGGCTCCTTCTGGGTGGAATCACAGGGACTGCTGCCATAACCAGCTGAGGACTATTACCAGGTACATACCTACCAGGTACCTGATAAGTTAAAGGGTGATTTTTTTTGTAGTACGATTATAGTCCGCCGATGTAAAGGCAGAGAGTCACTTATCTCTGTGTCCGTATCTATGAGCACGCATGAGCCAATACTGAAGCTGCAGGGCCTAGCAGGGACAGCTAATAGATAATATCCTCATAGGCACAGCAGCCGCATAGAAGAGTGCTTTCTGCTGGCGTATCGGCTTGGGTTCGAAGTTGACGTCTTCAACTGTAAAGTGATAACGTGCTATAGAAGTCAGTACTGTCTACGGTGTGTATAATGTCGCGCAGTATACATACCACACTCGTCCCTAAATGTTTGAAATGTTTCAGCATTCCGGACAACGCCCGCTATGATGACGCGTAGTCTCGGTCTCATGTCGAAGAGACTCTGAAGCGTTGACACCAAGGCTGATATAGCTACTTTGTCGTATGTCTAGAGGCAGATTCATTGAGTTTTCTTCTTACCCCTTTTCAAATTCGAGCAATGAGAACTTACAATGTCGGCGCCAATCACCACATCATACGGGTGAGTCGCACAATCATCTTCAACCCAGGTCCCTCTGAGATCGTGGCCCCATCTTAGTGTTTCTGTGCGCACCCGTTGCTGATCTTCGAGGTTATTCAATGAGAGATTCTCCTTCAGTGACTCGATCACTCCTCCATCGCCATCCGTAGTAGTGACATATTCTGCCTGCAGGTGTTTCGCCAAGAGAATGGAGAGAAATCCGGTACCGGCGCCAAGCTCGAAGACATTCTTGCCGCGGACAAGGCGTGATCCATCCCTAGTGAGTAGGTAAGACCCGAGATGAAGAGAGGCCTCCCAAGTCCGAAATCCTGTGGTTCGCGATCCCGATATCAAGTGGCGCCGCTCGAGCAAAGTTATCGTGGGATCTGGCGCGTTTTCATAGCTATCACGCAAGTCTGCCGCCTCTGGTATGCAAGTGAACGTCACATACGCTTTCTCCAGAGCTGCGTCGAATTCCGACGGCACTCCCCTGCTCATAAAAGAGGTCAGGCACGTCATAATCTCATCCGAAATTTCCTGGGAATTGTCAGATAGGCAAGGGGTCATTGGGGGTTTAGAAACTCGCATCTTCGTCTGGATCTTCAATTGCCTTCTCAATCTTATCGACGAGCTTCTTCAGGACGCGCATCTGATATCTCTCAGGTGGGATTCTCGAATTCCGAGTTGGGTCGAACAAATTCTTGTACAACCATATCTGCACGTCTGCACCTTTGAGAAACTTAGAGGGAGGCCAAGCTAGGAAATCGGGCTCAAATAGCTGCAGATATTGTCGTCGCAGCAGGAGTAATTGAGGATCTATGTCAGACATTGTATAGTTTGTGATTGTAGTTGGTAGAAATCGAGATGACGCTAATTCATAAGAAGCGCATAAGTATGGGTCTCGATTGCCTTACATAATATTATGGCATTTGGCGACTACAATCAAGTCTTCATAGTCTTCGTGAATTATCTCGAAGATTTGTTTTGTTATTTTGTAAACCTGATTACCTCCTTACATCTCAACCCCTCAAACCATTTATTGCCATTGATTCATATGGGTTCCTGGCAACTTAAGCTAAAATCATAGACTCGTATCTACCGGTCTGTCTAGTGTGTTCACATGAGTTGATAGTTGGGAAGATGCAAACGAATATGAGCTAAGTTATGAGGACTCCGTTTGAACTCCACCTAGAAAAAACGCATCCCTTATATGCTTTCTTCTGTTCTGGTTAAATGGTGAGGTCCTGAAGTCGACATTCGTCGATCACGAGAAGGAAAGAAATATAATCAGTCCAGCAGTTGAAATAATTCAATGGGGATCCTAGTGTATACCTCGTATCAATACAATATGATACCGTCTTACTCCGGCTAGGTAATATGTTTATAATAACTTGCAGCACCATGTATGACAAGGGGAGTTTATCTACGATGTCTAAACTTGGCGTTTTATACAATTTTATAATAAACCCTTTCACAGACCATCCTGGGCGGGATACAGTCTCCATTCGTCTAGTGGTTAGGATACCTGCTTGTCATCAGATTAAGTCCTATGATAAGATCGAATCCGCAGGTGGCCGGGGTTCAATTCCCCGATCGAGAGAACACGAATCAATCATTTTTTTTTGTTAATATCGTATGCCCTAGGATTATACTGCCTTGAGCATATGCCAATACTATCCTAGGTTGTCGTTCAAGCTAGTGAACTTTTAGTCGCAGGTCAGTCTATGGCATCTATGCATCTATAAAGGGTAACCTAGGTGAAGTTGTTAACCAAAGTTAAGGGAAGTGCGATATTATTCGTTTATCAAAGCATGATTGCAATTGTCTTTTACGGTTGATAGATTTATTGAATGGAAATCAAATCAATTCCTTTCCTGGTTCAATCTACGAGATTGTTAACGGAGACGTTGCAAGAGAAACTCTGCAAAACTACGCCGCCCCCTGCTGAAAATCCTTTGATGAGGATATATAAGAGTGTCGTTCATTAATATCTAATGCTCTGAGTGGACTTTATATCACCCTAGGGGCGTTGGTGATATCTTCATAAAACCAAGTTTATGTTGTTAACACTACTAGGATGGAGTTACTGTTGTGGCAGACCCATGACACCCAGCTGTGATGATAAACTCTTACAGGTAGGTTGGTGTTCACGGATGTTCCATTCGGGCAAGGCTTCGAAATGATATGTCACATCAAGCAACCATTTTCGTACTTGGTTCTCCAATAAGTCGCACTCCACCATTGCCAAAAATGTCCAGGCTTTTCAGCCTGCATGCGGTGTCACCACTCATGCCACCGGCAATGGGGTTAGCTTCAGTAGCTACGAGCGATTCGTTCGGAGGAAGGTATTCCGAGCAGCAACGTCGACGTGATCATATGACGACGAAAACACGCCAAGTTGGACTTTCTGGCTTGCGCTCAACCGCAACATTCAGACCAGTCGAATTATACTAAATAGCTGTATTGGATATAAATCGAATTATTACAGCGCCGGCTACTCTGCAGGAGGTTGTATTAGTCGCGGTCGCAGTCGCAGTTTGCCATGGCCCCGACGACTCGGCCGGTGGGCAACATAGCCCTCATTGTCACCATAATCGCCGCGTCAGCACCGGTCCTATACCGACTCGCATCGCCATATATAGCATCGCTCTCGCCGTCCATCGCTCAGACCTTCACTCCGCGAGTGGAGCACGCCTCATCATCATTTAGCTGTGTCCCGCACACCTACACGACGGAGATCGTGTCGCTGGACCCGCTGCTCATCTACATCGACTCGTTCCTTTCCCCAACGGAGATCACCGCGCTCCTCGCGGCCGGCGAGCCCGCCTTCGCGCCGTCGCGCGTGTACAAGAGCGGGCGGAACCAGGACACGGCGGACCGCACGTCGTCATCGGCCGGCCTACCGCGCGAGGACCCCGCGGTACAATGCGTGCTAGAGCGCGCCGAGACCTTCCTCGGCACCCTGCTCGACCCCGCGCGCGACGACATCGGGCCCCCGCAGCTCGTGCGCTACGCCGCGGGCCAGCGCTTCAACCGCCACCGCGACTGGTACGAGCGGCCGCAGCCGGCGCGCAACGGCATGCTCGGCCGCGGCCGCACCTGGAACCGCGTCGCGAGCTTCTTCGCCGTCTTGCAGGACCGGTGCGCCGGCGGTGAGACTTGGTTCCCCCTCGTGAACGCGACGGCGGCGCCCGCGAAGGCGGACGCGCCGGACGGGGCGAGACGCCGGCTCTGGAGGACGCACGAGGACGGCGGCTTGGCATTTCGGCCCGTGGCCGGAAACGCGCTGTTTTGGGTCAACCTGTTTGCGAACGGGACGGGGGACGAACGTACGGTGCACGCGGGCCTGCCGCTGGAAGACGGCTTGAAGACGGCGATGAATATCTGGCCGCGGAAGTTTTATGCGTGAGGGAAGAGTCGGCGCAGTTGATGACAACCTATTTCGCGTTTCTAATTCACCCAGACTACATCTCGCGGTTTGCTAATAATGTCATAGCTGGCATCGTAGTCCTAAAAGGAGTCGTTCTACATTGATATCATGTCTACGACTAGACTAAGCAGCTATATCGGTCGCCTACTGTTCACCTTGCCTCTTTTGCTTTTATGTATCAGGGACAGACGGTGTATTTTGACCTTGAGCATCAAATTTTGAGATGTGTCGTAGCACAAACCCACAAATTCGCTTATCGCTTAAATGATGGCGACGATCGAACAACGGTAGGGCGGACCGGACACGTTATGCAAGTTTGAGAGGTAGTATTTGTACGACCCTGACCTTCGCAGCTTAGCCAAAAGTGTACTTTTAAAGCCGTCGGCGACTTCGGAAATAAGGGGGCGAACCCACGCCCTGGTGAGCCCCTTAACATGAATCACACTTGGCCAATAACATAAATATTTGAGCTTCAAATGAGAACATTTGTTCAGATAAAATTAGAGCGAACCATAGATGGTTAAAAGCAATAGAATTCAGGTGGCGGTACCCGAAATTGTTACCGACACGGTTCTCAACGAACAGCTGATTTCTCTCGATGCGGATGAATTCTCCGAATTCGGTTTCCTCATGCAGGAGCACTGCACCCCACGAACATATTGCCTTTGACGTGTTCTGTAACACCCGAGGCATCATACGGGATTTGCGTTGGCGTAAAAATAACTTCCTCGTCGTCTGGATGGGTCTTGGGAAATAGTAAGGCGAAACAACATGTCTACCTTCGGAGAGAGCTAATTGTTAGGGGGTAGATATACAAAGGTTGAGACAGTAATTTCAATGGGAGTTGTTCGCCAGCAATGCGCCAGCTAGTGCCCTCAGCTTATCTTCTCACTTCTCGGCTGTTCAAAGAAGCTGTAAGCCACCACAAGATCCCCCCCAATCATTGCGATAGATAATGCTTTCGGCCACTAATCATCTTATCGTGTTGCCGTAGCACAAAACCGGGCTTTGCTCTCTGATCTCGCCGATCTCGTCCTTTCCATTTCTCCTTCTCAAGTATTATGGCGGCGTAGGGCGGCTGCAAGGTCCACACGTCCCGTAGATAACCTCCACGTTTGCTCCATCGGTGTAGACAGCGTGGTACGCATCCGGACAAGGGCCGATGCACTTGTCTTGCACTACGCGGTTGCATGTTGAACAGAGCGTTCGCTCCCAATCGCACATCTTCCTGAAAGAAATATCTGTCAGGACCTACTAATGCCGTCTCATACATATTGAAACGCCCGTTTGGTACATACCTAAGGTTTAAGGCGAAAGGGTTTCCAAAGGTCATCTATTAAGGGGTGCTAGTTCTTTTATCAATTTAAGATGCGAGTTTAGGTGTTCGTCTAGCTACAACCTGCCGCCACCCATCTTATACACTCCCACACCGGCCAGGTAGCTTCTAGGAGGGACGCATAATATCGTGTTTACACCCAACACACCATTGTCTAAACCAACCAGAGTTGAATCAGTCGAGTACAGAGGTTACATTAGAGATCTCTATACTCCGAGACTGTATTTTGCGTATCTGGTATCGTATATCATACAGGGCACGTGCTAAAAGGTATGGAAAGGCTGGGGGCCGCGTGAAGCAAGAAGGAGAAATTGCTGTCGACTAGGAGAGATCTGCTATCTATTGCATATGGTTGCGTGATACTCCATCCCCTTAAACTGATAAAAGGTCGCACTCGAGTCTAATGATGGTAATCTATTGCCTTACGCCTAGAAATAGGATGTCACAAATAGATACAGCATAAGAGGCCAAGGGTCGGACATGTGTCGCTCAATATGAATGGAGTACGGGAACCATTCATAACGTGACTCGAATCCGTATCAATCTTTCTCCATGTAAGTAGTCAGCGCAGGAATGTGGTGATCCAAGAAACCAGAAACTTGGGTCCACGAATAACGATCCAAATGATATGGGATCTCTCACGTAGCATTGCCACCGAGACGGACCACTCAGCTGAATAGTTCAGTAGGTTATCCAGTTAACACAGCCCACGGTCTGGGTTAGGAGAATCAATAGAAGCCTAGTTGGGCCGTCCTTAAGTCGTACCGCAGAGTATGGTAAAACCGATGATTGCCATCCAACCAGAAGGAATCTACGAGAAATACCGAGACGATGGGAACAATAACGCTAGGGTCGTTGTGTAACGTTTGAAAATGCAGACTTCCGTGGAACATAGTACTATTATTGAAAATTACAGAAAACTCACTACATCTGGATTTGTGAAATGATGGTGTCACACAGGCTGCCTCACACTTCATGGGCCGAGCTCCACGTGAGTTTCTGGTTGACCTTCGGCCTGTTTCCCAGGGATTGCCGCTGTTAGACGGGTTCGTTGCTACTCTATGCAGGCTACAGCGAGACCTCGAGCAGTGTTACTCTATTCTACCACCCTTATATCTTACCATTTGGGAATCTAGGACTTAGGTGTGATTTACGGTATTTACAAACGGTCGCGACCAATGGCTCTATCGGAGTTCACGATGTGATTCCACTTCGGCATCCTGTAATTTCTTAGATTCCCTGCTTACGCCGAAGCCAAGCTACCGTCGGAAGTTTGAGGTGCTTGATAGCCATCACTGTTCGAGACCACATACCTCCATCTCGGCATTGCGAAAGGGGACATCTAGACGTTTTTTTATCTCGCTTCTTAAATCAAGGTAGACTCGCCAGCGGTAAATATGGAGCGATAAATATGGAAGTGGAATGGCTTACTACTTTCGAGCCATCCTAATTCTTACAAGACATCATAGCTAACAATATTGGTAGTTGGTTGGAGCAAGTGGGATGAGACACGGCTTGGGATACTTAACAGTGTGACCATCGTCAGGGAAGGATGGAAACAGAACAGTGACGAACCAATTGGAACTGACTCGCTCAAGATCCCTGGCCCTCACGGTATTGACTCGAGCAACCATTCCATGACGCGGTAGCAAGGGTTGAGCAAGGAGGCTGTGGCAGATGTGACAGGTGTCTTAAATTATGCATTATCCACTGTGATCCGAGCCTTGTTCCTACTGACTGGAATACACTCGGTAGGAAAGCAAGCGAGGGGATATAGGCATCATTCCATTAAGGGCAGGGTCATGTTTTCATATTGGAGTGGCTAGGCCCGTCAAGTTGACGTAGAACAAAGCTTACAAATTGTCTTGCTCTAACCAACCTCCACTCAACTGCTTGCCTTATGTATTGATCTACTAACGTATATGTAATCTTGGAAGAGTACTATTATACTATCAAGAAATTGCTAGCAAATGTGGTCTACATATGATACAGCGTCCTAGCTGCGTATCTCGCACTTTCGACAAATAAATGGAACAATTTCACTTAAGATCTGTAGAGCCCTTTCCTCAACAATGAATAATTACGTATGTTCCATACGAAGGACGCATTTATTCGGAAATATTTCGGTTTGTATCCTTTCTTGAACATGGGTTAGTCCGGGTTTGACTAAGCAGATGAAAATGGTTAAAACTGATTGGTGAGCTCCCCCCCAATTTTACGAAAACATTATAAGCTTGCCAAGGCGGTAGAAATTTCAACCGTCCCTGCGAGCACTTTATTCAGTCTTCGTGGCTCAGTTGGTCAGAGCGTTGGTCTCATAGCAATATGACTCAATCATTAGATTGGGATATCCAAAGGTCGTGAGTTCGAGCCTCACCGAGGACATTCCTTTTTTTTTTTTTTTCTTCATTTCTATGTACCCTATCGTTTTGCCAAGGCGGGGGGGGGGGGGGGGGGGGGGGGGGGGGCGGCGGGC